ATAATTAACTTGAATTATTGTGGATTTAACTCGAATCATTATGTATTCAACTTGAATTTTGCTACAACAGGCTCCGTTCTTAATTATGGGTTGTCCGTAAACCCTGCATTCTTAACCTGGGGATTACCTGTATTTGTCTATTTTTACACAAAATTATATTCTGTCCTTTTCAGGGGCATCAATGGGGAGCTGGGTGTCAAAACCTGCAAGTTGATGGGTGCACCCTCGCAACTGAAGCCTTTATATGTACAAAGAAGACTTCCATCACAACATTCTTCCCATCTTCCAAATCCCCCGTCCTGCACCCAACACGGACACCCCTGGTCCCTTTCATGTTCTTGGACTATTCAGGACAATCAATTAATTCAAAACAATAGCATGCAGACATCCATTCCAAAGGGAAATAAGAGATAGTAAAATTGAAACCAACTGATGTAGCAGGTGAAGTAGATGGTCAAATATGTTTCACGCTGTCTGTAACACCAACACTTTGCTGAACTGAATGGCTCTTTTTCAAGGAGCTGGAAGCTTTAGACGAAGGGGCCATGCTTAATGTAAAGGAGAGACAGCTGCTATTGAAGTGCAGACCCCATTCACCATCAATTATATTAACTGAAATAATAAATAGCATGGCTGCGGTTGTGAGTCTTCTTGGCTGCTATTTTATGTTATTTTTGTTGCTTTTAAATTCTAGTTGTTTTTATTCTTTTTTATTCTATTTTAATTGTGAGCTGCCCAGAGTCATGTGTTTGAGAGGGGTGGGCTATACGTTTAGTAAATAAATAGACAAATAAATAAACAAGCCAAACACAATCCCTTACACAGGGCAGCCAAATAGGGTTTTCTGCATGTTTTTTTTTTACGCCATATCTGCTCTTTCTAAAATACTAGCTCTAAAACGGATCTGACATGTTTCCAGTGAATTTGGGTCCCTAGGAAATCCATTAAGAGAGGGATATTTATGGATATTACTATTGATTTACTGTTTCAAGAAAAATTGACTAGAGTGGTTCCATCTGAGTGCCCTGGCAGGACTGTGATTAAGGAAAGCAGGAAGAAATGAAATCTGTAGTGGTTTGCTTAAAACTCGTACGAGAACTGATTAGGGATATGTTTAGAGAGATAATCACATTTAGTCGTAAATGAGATTTCTGTAGCTCATACATCAAAGCAATTAAATTATTAACATCCCAAAGGCATCTTTCATAAATTAATGTCCTAATTAGAATTGTATATAAATAGTATTTCTGCTCTGAATAGCCTTCAAAATTTGAAATGAAAAACAGCCACCCACCAAAAATGTGACTCGGCTTCAGCTTCATTGGTCAGGAGCGAGAGTTAATCGATTCTCAGAAGATTTGGGCCCAGGTGCTAATTTTGTGCTCAGCTGTAAAAGCTGCCTTGTTTGACGCCCGATGCCCTTTCCCCAAACTGGTGCCCTCCAGATGATGGGGGATGCCCACCCCAGAATTCCTGAATTTACTAGGCATGTGTGTTGCTCAGGGCAAGCGTTGGCAAGAACCTCAATTTGTATCTTATTCTGGACCAAAATAAATTTTAAAATCTACAGATGCCCTCCCCACCGTTAGATGCAATTCCATTTCAAGCACTGGTCATGGTTCAGTGGAGTGAAAAAAAACAATCCTGCAATGCCATCATGAATCTCAGCTGTAACAGAATAGGAGTCCCTCTGAAAATCATTCTCCTAGAGCAGTGTTTTTTCACCCCTGTGCTATCTTGTGAGAGTCGGGGGGGGTGGAGATAGCCCGTCCCTTTTGCGGCAAG